TTTACCCCCCCCCCATCTCCCTTGTCAGCAAAAGTAAGCAAAGCTCTTACCCCCTACCCCCATGCTTACGTAAACATTTTGCAATTAATGTAAAAAAATAAAAATACTACCTATGACGTAATCATCATCCAGACTCCCCTGCCCCCCATGTCAACCCAAAATAAGCAAATCAACAACCCCCCCGCCCCCCTTTAGTGCTTACGTAATACTTGAACGGCCCCTAAGTAGCCTTTTAAAATCTTACATTTAAAACCTAGACATTTATTTCCAAAATTACCGAATGCCTTACCAGGCAGATTGTAATTATATGGGAATAAAAAAAAGTTTCAACTTTTAACAAAAAATCTGAAGTTGTCACATTTTTATTATTATACATTGTATGACATTGATCTTACATCTTTCTGCATTCAAAGTCAAAGCTAGATATATCAAGATGAAAGTTATTGATAATTTTTCAGGTGAATAATTGTAAAGAGCAAAGCAAAAGAACAACAAAGCTACTCTAATAAAATAAGAATGTAAAATAATGTACTAGCTATGACGCTAAAGTCAGAATAAGAAGAACTACTTAATACTTCAATTTCAAAATCGAAATCAAATTATTCGAAGGTCAGACGAAGTGATATTATAATAATTTATTTTAAACCTACAAAAAGCACAAAACGCGCAAGCAATACAATGCAAATAAAGTCACCAAATGTACATAATATTCAAAAGACACACGGATATGAATTAATTGTATTTGAAACATGTAAATCTAATATAGATGATGTCGTTATGTTATGATAACCTTGGCTGGACGAGCAGCAAGAAAGACTCAACATTACGACTCGGAGCGATCTCATTGTATTGATTGATCATTGTTTCTTAAACATGAAGCTTTCCGAACAAATGATAGCAATGCTCAAGAAAGAACATAACTGATATTCTCGTCAATAATTTCAATGTAGTATACATAAATACATACATTTTTTAATTGATCATATTGATCATGGATACATTTATGACATTTTGTAGCAATAAATATGATATAGGTTTATTACAATACATATGTAAATAGCATCACGCTAGAAATCGGACTCAAAACACTTAAAACTAGATTTTATTAACATTGGCGAAATTGCAATTAGTGTAATTTAAACGATTACGAGGCAAATTTTAGCGGTAAGATATTGTAATTTTTAACTTCCCGTAGGGTAAATTATTGTAATCGTCCAAAAATTTAAAATAATTTTTTTTGCGTATCTTTACGTTTCATAGGTTTCTGAACATTTTGGCATTAGAAGAAAAGGATGTGGGTATGGTTACAATAGGTAGGTATGTCCACAAATTCGGGCACACGGATCAACCGATTTAAATGATTCAAAAAGCATTCGATTCCTGTTGTTAAGGAGTTTGGCAAAGATAGGTTTAGCCATTTCGGGGATATGAACCAATAAGTGCAGAACATGAAAATTCGGTTTTTGTAAAAACGGGGCATCCGATTAGAATGATTCAAAAAGTTGTCGGTTCATATTAACGGGGAGACGTGCTGGTTAGTTTTCAGCAAAGGCAGACTCGACCGTTTTATAGATTCGGAGCAAAAGGTGGAAAACTAGCAGTTATTGAGAGAATGGATCATCTGATTAGAATAATTCAAAAACATTTTTTAGAAAATATGTATCGAACTAGCCGGCCCGACAGACTTCGTCCTGTCAAAAAAAAATGTAATGTGGAGGTATTTTGTTCCTTCCTTTTTTCTATTCTTTGCAAAAAATTATTGTGAACAGAACCGTCACCTTGGTAATAATTCGGTGTGAATTAAAAATAATTAAATAAAACACTATAAGCATTTAAAAGTAAGTAATTTTAATCATGTAAATCATAATTCAAAAATCATAATCATAATTGTAGTGCTTTGTGATAAACGATGTTCTTTGTTTGATTACCTGATACGGGAATAAACAACATACAATTTACCATGTGAGAAACATGAGTTTTCCAAATTAATACCACAAACACTTAATGATACCGTAAACGCACTGGAAATTGTAGTCGTTTAAACTCAAATGGCACATCAGTCGGAATCATTGGGATGCACGGTGCGAGAACATCTTCTGCTTTATACTATCCTTTCAATGTAGTTGCTTCCATCACCTTGTTTGATAGTTTTTTTTATCGCTAACCTTGTGCCGTTGCAAAGGCGCGGTTGGTCGATATTTCGCAACATTATAATTGCCGATTCTACCTTTAATTGAAGATTGTGAGGTGACAATTTAGGCAAATCCAGCGAGTTTAAAAATTCCGGTGGATAGTTAACTACATCGTCTTGGTTAGTTGTCGAATCAACTAATTCGCCTGTAATTTGTTCTTGAATTTTGAAATTTAATTCATTTACATCAATGTTTTTGGCTGCCAATATAGCTCATTAATTAATAGAAAGATATTTCTATGTTTATGAAAAAATATTAAGAATTAGATTATCGAAATCTACACAAAATATACTGTAAACGTTTGTATGAGAAAAATAAAAGGGCTGTTTTTAGGGTTTTCCCGGCAATTATTCGATTTTTTCTCGCCGTAAGAACCATCCTTGGACATAAACGAACAGTTTAAAAGAAGAATTGGTCAAATTGGTCCAGGCGTTGTTGAGTTATGCGCTTACCAACACATTTTGCGATCCATTTTTATATAAGAAAATATGATTCGCCTTAAGTCACGATGCCATGCACCAAAATTTTTCTTGAACTTAGTAAGATATTGTGTTAAACACAGTGCAATTTTGAAATGGACTATTGATATCAGATCAAGTAAATAAATATACGAAGATCCAATAAACAGAAATATCCCGAGTGAAATATTGAGAAACAACGATCTATGGATTTGAAGCATTTACAAACAGCATCGTTAGATTGGAATCGTTCACTATTTCTATGTCATAGGACACTCATACACGTAAACGTGTAGTCCGGACATTAGGAAAAGCTGCGCGCAATACAGCTATTACGATGTGAAGTCTCGCGTACACTCGACCAAGTAACAAATTACGAAACAACCGACAACCCGGCCCGCTGTAAACTACAATGTATGCATTAAATAGAAATCTACTACTAACGCGTGGTGGTAATGTCATGCACATACCGACTGGATTAATCTACGAAGCAAGGGCGAATGTTGCAACCATACTATTATATTTATTACATTATATTATATTAGGCACACTAACAATAAGTGAACATTTATTACTTTTGTTATCGTTGCATTACTAAATCTATGCAAATTAACTGTTCTCTAAAAACATTTCACATCTACTAAAATGATATTCTTTGTTGTTAAGCGGTGATAGAATTACAATTTACGAAGCAATAAATTAGTAGAATTAATATACAAAATAGACGTCGGTTAGAGTATGAAGATTTGATTACAGAAAGATGATGATACATGACGTTAAGCAGATGCAAAGTCAGCAAATGCTTGCTTTGCATCATTGAACAAGTGTGTCAATATAAGAATTATGCTGATATCAGCATTTCTTTTACAAAAATAATGTAAATACAAGTTGGCAGATCTGGTGGCGCCAACAAAGGGAAAAAAACTTAACACTATAGTCATCAGAATGTTCCAGAAAACATAAATCAAATTTATATATACATATTTCTAGTAATACAAATGTGAAATTATAGTACATTAATTAGACTATTATGACTGGATTTTGGATTATATGCTTCGTTGTTTAAGTAACCTTTAATATTTGATTAAACTTGTAGCTCGGGTCAATGAGAGAAAGTTATTATAAATTTATTCTGATTGCAACAATAATTTTTTGTGACCTGAACAATCTCTCATAAGACATTCACTAATCATTAGTGACTAATGCATATAATGTATAGCAAGAATGTAAGTAATGTTCGTATGTTCTGGATTACATTATTTATATATTTTTTAACAAGATTTTATCAAGATTCACTAATTCGGCAAGCGTTTATGAAATATTGTTTTAAACCGTTGAGTTTGTATCATTATGCTTAATTATCAGTTACATATCACAAATTTCAAAGTTTAGATGAAAGGATAAAATACCATTGAAATTACACATTTATCATGAGTTCGATTGATAGGCAAAAATAGACTTTTCAACAACTAATATTTTGGCTTATCTCATTCCACTTATTGCGAAAAGAATAGAAATAGTAGCTTAAATTAAAATGTTCCCTAATTGTAAAAATCAAAATTATTATCAATTTCTTTGAGGATCTCATAATTTAAAAAGTACTCATTCGAAGACTGAATAGACTGACACGTATTAAGATGAAAAGATTTAACATGGTGTATGAGTAACATTTGAAAGAAGTGTGCAAATATAAGTTCGGCCGGACAGCTGCATAAATTTATATATTGAGTGTGCGCTCCATTAGGTACACCCGCGTATACAAAACTTACCGGCACAACCTAGAATTTGTACCGGCTTTTTTGTTGTGGTTTTAGCACACTACAAAAATAGGAAATAAAAGACAAAATTCGATTAACAATCCGTATAATTCAAATTCATGACTTAAGCACAGTGGTTGCAATGCACAAGAAATATGTTAATAAACATTTGCGTAAAAATGCTTTTAGAACCCTCATTGTTAAAAACGACACAAATACCAAAAACGTTTATTTTAATTTCTAATAATTTATGGAAATACGCTTTAACGCTGCATATAGATGCGTGTGTTCGAAAGTAGGATCAAAAGTTGTATCGCATCAGAACAAGATAAAACGTTTGTAAAAAAACAATTGCAACACTTCCAATTGCGAGATACATTAAAATCTTAATTTAATCAATTTCATATATATATAAATACATATATATATACATATATAGATAATCCTCTATACAAGTAATAACAATGCGTGGGTGTATACAGGCAATTGTTGATTCGGACTGGATTTTTTTCCATGCCATATGACAAACATTTACCAAAATTTTAAGTATCTCAATATCAAATTAAAGAACAGAAACAAATTTCATTACTCACCTTAGCTCCACAGAGGTAATGAACAAAGGCTACTTTATTACAGAGGCCACGCGCTTCTGAGAAGCCGCCACAAACTTGTTTATATCACTATATTACCGTAAGAAATTACACTTTAAATCACCCACTAAGACACTAAACACATAATATCATTTTCTTGTAATTTGTGCACTGTTTTTGGCCTATAACATATATGTAATTAGATATTTGCGTACTGTAAATCCCCACTCACGGCATTCAAAATGGCGACGGTTTAGAAAAATGACGCGAATATGCAGCTCATGCCGTAGCAATAAGCCGAAGCAGATCTCAGCGACTTCAGCGCTTTGCAACATCAGCGGCACTACTAACTACTAGCATTGCTAACATTCAGTTAGAGGGCATTGAATATACCAAATGGGAATGGAAGTTGACGAAGCAAAAAGCGATCTAAAAATCATGTGCGATTAAATATTTTATATGTCACAATTTACCTTTCGATTCGAAAAATCGATTCTATGTCAAATATATCGCAAATTTATTTATTATTCTTTAGCACTATATAAAATGAAGTATGGTAATTTTTCTTTTTTTTAAATATTTAAAAAATGTATATATATATATATATATATATATATATATATAATCAAATCAAATCAAATAATAATTTGTACTATAGGTGATAAGAATGCAAGGTTTTGATATAGATATATTTATTATAATAGGAAAAATTACTATGAGAAGAGATGTGAATAGTATCCTCCATCAGGTTAGCAATTGCTTTTCCAAATCTTGAAGCGCTAAAGATACTTAAATTTAGTATAAATACAATTGGAATTATGAATATACTAATTATATATTCAATGACTCGTAAGATATAACTGCTGATTGATATGAACTTTTAATTTTAACGTAGTTTCAACGTTTGCCGTTGACGATATAGTGTCACTTCAATCGCAGTTTTCTTTACACTTTCGCGAGTGATAGCCGATTTTTTTCAAAAGTGAATGACTATCAAAGTATTTTGACTCGATTATAATCGGACCATTGAAATTGATTAGATCGATTATATCCATATAATATCGCTTATAGATTATTTGTTCGACATGCTGTTTGCAATATAATGAATTCGCATATAAACAACTCTATCAGAAATATAATTCAGAGCAACTAACATAACATTTGAAAGGTTTTTATTTGATTGAATTTAATTGCAGCTAGCAGCAAAGAATAAATAATGTAATAGATGAAAGAGTTCTGCTGATTTATCTTTTGATTTTTCAGACATCAAGTCAAATAAACTAATGCAATTAGTTGTTTTCCGAGTATTTGAAAAAATTATTCATGAGCAATAACCGCGAAAACGCCATCGTCAATTCATTGAACTAGAACAATGACAGAGCAGAGCAGACGGAGCAGTCGCTGCCCGTGCCGCCATCTGCACTCAAAAGCGCAAGGCTGTTAATATAAATATTAAATCGAATGCTCGATAGCAGCTCAGCTGAGCGCTAATGACAGTTTGACAGTTTCTATTCATTCGTACAGTGCATTTCATGCAGAGTGTATATGGTTCATAGGATAGTGATTTTTTCTTGTAATAATTTTTTTTAGCGTAGAATTAGAAGCCAAATATAATGGCAGATGTTAGAGCTCTAGAGCACCCTACTTTAAAGGTATGTGGAAATATTTTTCTCGTTTTGGTCCAAAGTATGACGCAGTGCAACATACGCATCCATTGTTCGATTTAATAAACTTTGTGACATAATATTTATTGTCTTTCAGGTGCCGTATGAGGTGCTGAATAAGAAATTTCGTATTGCCCAAAAAACTTTAGATAGAGAAATGAGTCATGTCCAATCAGCAGCAGCAGAGTTGGAGAAAAATTTGTCAATAAAAAACGCTGGGGAAATATCGAAATTAATAGGGGGTGTCGTGGAGAAACTTCAAGTTTTGAAGAGAAAAGCTGAGGAGAGCATTTCTGAAGAGATACAGGCTGGATATGTTTGTAAACGAAGACTTGAACATCTAAAACAACATGTTGCTCCAAACCCTGTTTTCAGCCCTGAAGTATCGCAGGTATTTTGATATTTACACTTTCACAATTTTTACATTTAGTAAAAATTATTATTTTATTTATTTTACTAAATTAAATGAGTATTAATTTAATATGACTCAAAAACGCTAAATGATATTGACAATTTTATTTATACAGAATAATGTACAAAATACATGTTATGTAAAAAAATATAAAACAAATATTATTTAGCTGAAAACAAATAAAAGTTAAAAATTCTACTAATTCATGCATCTTATTAATATGCGATTAGTAATGCAACCATATAGAATCATAATACTTAAACTATAAACTGTTATATAGATATTAAATTTATCAATAATTTTTTATATATTATTTGAATAAATAATAAATAGTAATTTGAATAAATACATTTAACTAAATCAACTTAATACAAATCATTTTAATCAACTTAATGTCTCCAATCTGTATAAATGTCCCACTAATCATTTTCTAGATTTAAGAATATGTATTTAACACAAGAATTTTCTATAAAATTCTTTATTGTGTGAAAACAGAGAGCATGGTCATTATATTATCATCATTCAAACTGATTAATTAAAATATATGCACATAATCTTTTAAAAATCTAAAATACAGCGATTTTAGATGCATCAAACGTTGTTTATCAAACATTGTTTTACTGTTTCTTCATAAATCCTTTTGTAAGTGTTAGTCTCCATTGTTAACAGAAATAAAAATATCAACAAATAAAGAGATGATGAACATTGAAAATGTGCATGATTTATTAATAGCGCACACATATGTATATGCTTGTTATGAGAATATTAATTTGTTTTTGGAATTGAACAATGAGGAATTCAACTATAATGAATGTTTGCAATATCAGCAATTTTAAAATAAACAATTTACAAATACACTTACACAGTTAATAAAACTTTGGCCAAAATAATAAAGATAATACATACCTGCACACATTACATACATTTGTAGGATCTATGTAATTAATTTTGACATTGGAAAATTTCAAAGGACTGACATCAAATAAAAATTGAGAATTTTAATTGTACCAAATGTTTGACATGTAACTTAATGGCATTATCTACAACGGGAAATAGAAATATGGGAAAGATTTAGCCTATGAGTTTAACATAAGGTCACCTCATGTGATTTTAATTAACATTTTTTTTTCAATTTTCGTACAATTCTTTATCAGATTAGTGATGATTGGTAGTGGTATTCTGAACAAAATTCTGGTATAATAGAAAAAGTAATAATAAATTTAAAGTTTATTTTTCACATTATAGTTATAGCATATATATATATATATATATATATATATATATATATATATATATATATGATTTAGTAGTTATTTTTGATGTTGAGATATATGTGCAAATTCTTACAGCGTATATATATATATATATAATATATCTATATATATATATAGGGCCGGTCCTGCCTTGCATGCGTTGCATGCAAAAAATGCGGGCGCAAGCCTTAGGGGACGCCAAAACGAGTTTCGGAAATTAAATTTATAATATAATATTTATATTTTTATTATTTTTATAAAATCTAGAATTATTTATTTAAAATTTAGAATACTTAATAAATTTTAATAAATAATTTAACTTAACTAGGGATACGGAGACGCCAGAAAAAGCATAATTATTTTGCAATGTGATATCAGTAAAAACAATTAACCGATTAATAATTCTGCAAATTAGTCAATAACAGCTCTCTTTATTGCTTAATCTACTTATCATTTTTTTTTTTGTTTGAAGTTACCGTGGAATCAAAAAATAAATTATCTAGTGTTCAATCCCATAAGCACAAACCTGCGAAAGATTAAATTAATTGTTGGGCATTATTGACGAAAAATGGCGAGCTGATTTAGTTGAATCGGAACTTGTTAAAAAATATAAACAAATTATAAAAAATGGGGAGTCAGTGCTTAGAAAATTACTTGTTTATTATGAGAAATTGAACTGTAACTTTTGTTTTTGGTGCAAATGTTTCGCATCTGTTAAACTGTGAATGTTGAAGACATGCGTGGAACAAATATGAAAAATGGAAACAAAATTTACTTTGAAACGAAAATCTTAAGGTTTTTTTTATACCTAGTGGTGTCCATTAATAATTAATAACTATACAGAAATAATACATATCAAATATAATAAGTTTTTATTTCAATATTGTTCAAGAAATGTGTAATTTCTTTGCATTTTTTACTGATTTTTGAACAATACTTCTAAAATAAATTAAAAAGTTAACTTTAAAACAACAAGCTGGAACTCGAATATGACGGCTCTAACGATATCAATAAGGAGAAGTTTACGACGCAATTTTCGATATTTTAAATGATGAAAAATTGAATTAAATTAAAATTTAAAAAAATCCAACATAAAATACGAGTGTTATGTTTGAAAATGGAATGCTAGTTTTTTTAAATCTGAACATTGCACATACGTTAAAAATAATTGAAAATTTCAAAATACTTGATTTTAATCAACCCCCGAATCGCCTCGATTTTCTAAATAAATTTAAAATCAATATATTTTATACGCTGTTAGATTATATCTAATATTTTGTGCACTAAATACAGAATAATTAAAAATTAATTTTATTTATTTCACTTAATATTTTTGTTAAATGAAAGTTACAGAATTTAAGAAATGCATTTCAGAAATAGTATTTATTATTTTGATATCTAGATCTTTATATCAAAATAATAAATACTATTTCTGAAATGCACTTCTTAAATTCTATAACAAAAATATTAATTCTTTTGCTATGGTAGTCGAACTTACACCCTTAACCAATTTACTACATATTGAATATTACTAAAATGTGAAATTATGACAGGGATTGTTTTATTTATTGATATCGATAATAATAAATAAATTTAAAATCAATATATTTTATACCCTTCTAGATTATATCTATTTTTTTGTGTACTAAATCCAGAATAATTAAAAATTAATTTTTAAAACATATGTAAGTATATAATTTTAATGATAAACTTATAAAATGGTGAAAATTAATAGGGGGGAGGGGGTCTAGAAAAAAAGTTGCATGCGGGCGCTAAGGACCCCAGGACCGGCCCTGTATATATATATATATATATATATATATATATATATTCTATTTGATTCCCCTTTGAATAATGCATGTTTGAAAATATGTAAAAAAAATATATATAGATAAATTTAATGAATTAATTTACTGGTTGATGTGAAGCGATATAAACGTTTTTAAATACGTCAAATCCAAATTTTAATGTCGCTAAAAACTGCAATAAAATACGTATGCAATATTTTCCTAGACTACTAAATTGCTTCTGGGAACTTAATTTGCAATGCAGATTAAATCATAACGTAAAAATTGCAGAGTGATGAGATCACTTCTCTTGATATCGTTTTTTTTATTTATTACGTAATGTGACAATATGTGCCATGCTTATATGTCAAATAAATTTGTTTGCATTTTTACAAAAACAAAAAATTAATATTTTTGTGTTTCTTTCTTATCCAGTAGTATCAAACTACTTATTTGGCCTTTGATCATTTGTTGCGATTTTTTGTTATTGAATATAACATCCAGAGTATAAGTCCAACATAATTTTCTCGATTTCGGCTGTGTGTTCTCGAGCTGTTTTTATTCTGTAACATCATCAATCTTAATGATTGTTATTATTTATTATATTTTACATTGCCAAATGGATTGAAAATTTATATTTGGTTCAATATAATGTAAAAAATCGCTCAATTAATTACTCCGCTTGATATGTAAAGGAAATACAATATCAAGCGTATTTAAAAAAAATATGATTTTCTTTTATTTGCATTTGGTTCATACCCGTTCAAATTTCTTTTAATAAATACTGTTCAAATAAACTATTTTTTCATTACATCTAATAATAATTACACATTAGTTGTTTACCGTCAAAATGGAAAAACAATATACTCTTTGGGTTCGCTTTACAACAATGCTCTAACTTGGCGATGGAATAAATTATAAAATGTTAAAAACTATTTTTTTAAACATTTATAGTATGATTTCCTCTATTGTTTAATCTTGTCCAAACCTTCTTCTATTCAATATCATTCACAATCGTATTTATTCGATTAATAATTCATGACTTGTTAATTGATTTGCCTATTATATCGATAGGCTGCTATGAACCATTGGCGTCACATTCGTTTGGATCGAATGCTGATAGAGCATTTTTTGCACCATGGTTATTACGAATCCGCTGAGAAATTAGCAACCACTACCAATTTGCGTGACTTGACCAACGTCGATATATTCCGAATGTCTCGTGAAGTCGAACAAGACCTGGCCAAACATCGCACGGCCAAATGCGCAGCCTGGTGTGCTGATAATAAATCGAAATTAAGAAAACTTAATTCCACGATGGAATTCAAGCTGCGCGTTCAGGAATTCGTGGAGCTGATTAAAGCGGATCGACGCTTAGACGCCGTCAAATTCGCGAGAAAGCAATTCCCAGCGTACGAAAAGGATCAGCTTTGCGAAATCGGGCATTGTATGGCTCTGTTAGCCTTTCCCGTAACGACAAGTAAGAACTTAGAAATATGCCTGATTAATTTTTTCAATTGAACATAATAAATTATTAACTTGTAAATTTATATTGTGATGTTTTCAGCTTTAGAACCATATAGATCTCTTTTCGATCCGAGTCGTTGGACAGATCTAGTTATTCAATTTAGACATGAAAATTATCGTCTTTATCAGTTGGGTAGTCAATCAGTTCTAGCAGTAGCTTTACAGGTAAATGCAAAATATGAATATAAAAAATACACTGTTTTTTTCTTATAACAAGTTTCTAGTATATAAGTTAAATTAATATTTTAAGATTTTTTTGTTCACTAAAGGCATAAAAAAAATATTACTTTGAAATAAGCTGAGTGTGTACTGATACTCGAAATATTCAACGATATTATTTAAAATTGGTTGTGGTTATCTTCAAACTTAAGGGTTTTATTTCACAGGTCGGTTTATCCGCATTGAAAACGCCACAATGTTATTCAATAACTGCTCGTAATTACCGTTGCCCTGTTTGTCAGGGACCATTAAATCAGTTAGCAATGGGCCTTCCTTATGCGCATTGCGCACAATCTCGACTTGTTTGCCGAATTACTGGTCAGCCACTAAATGAACATAATCTTCCTATGATGCTGCCAAATGGTCAAGTCTATGGAGAAAAGGTAATACAAATTAAGTTACTAGTATGTAGTTTATAAATATATGCATAATATTCCTGATTATTTTCATAGGCAATTAAAGATATAGCGGATCAAAGTAATGGTGTTATAATGTGCCCTACAACACAGCAAGTGTATGGTATTAAACACATTGAAAAAGTTTTTGTGATGTAAAATTATGCTATTGTTTCATAGCATATAGCCATATTTTGAGAAACAATCTCAGCGGGGTATAATATCTATGTATAATAAAAAAAAACAATGTGACTTATTTTAGCAATAGCACATATGTTTCATGTTGTTGAATCGTACTTTAAGTTTAATGACTATGAGAAATCGATATAAATTTATTTTATTTTAAATATTATTCAAAACTTAGATTTAAGGATAAATTTTTTATTGCAATATATATATATATATATATATATATATATATATATGTATATGTATATGTATATTAAATTATATATATGACACTTTCATAGTGATTTATTAAATATTTTATAGTGTAAATTCTGAATGACAGTGTATGCCAAATTGTGTGAAATGATTTCTTACACCCCATAAAACAAATTTTTATATTTTATAAAAATGAAAATGGACGGGAAAACTTGCTTAAAACATAAAATGTTTTAGTTAAACCAATGGCCTTCAGACTTCTATAATTTTCTTAACAATTGTGAATTAACATGACAATGGAATTTTAATATAGATTTACAAACGAATTGTGTAAAAATAATAATTATAGAGGCAATGTTGCTGGAGAAAATTGTATTGTGCAAAAATGATACGAAGACCATCAATATACTAATAGTTATCTATAGTTTTACTTTCATTCAAAATGAGGTTGCTTTTAAATTAACAACTAATACGAACAGTTTGGCATACAGTGCTTCATGATACTTCTTGATTGTAGCTTATAGCTTTATTAATTTCTTATATTATTCAATGTGAAGAGACTTTCAATAAATTTTTTGAGATATTTAAAATTGTTTGTGTTGCATTTATCATGCAGGATTATTACTTTTCTCATAAACTTCAAGCTGAGAAAAATTGCTTTAAAATTCTCCAGTTCAACTTCGTTTAAATCATATATTTGTGATGTTAACACCTGTAATAAACTTCAAAAGTATTTAATTATGCAAATAAAATAATAGATATATATGTTCAAGTTTATTAAAAATTACATACAAAAATTATGTAAAATTAAATACGGGTCTTTTGGTTAAACATAATATTAATGATGTTGATTTTATCATCAGAATCATTTATGTACAACAACATTTATATTAAGATATGAATATATTAAGGCCAGCAGTGAAAAACATACGCAGTGGAAATGAGAGAAAACTGAAAACATGGGTAAACATAAAAATACATGAATTTGCTTTATGAACCAACTGTTTCTTATAATGTCCCATCTAAATCATTCTCATGAGAATATTAGGAACAATTCAACGCCAATATTTTCAATGGTAAAAGTATCGCGTTTCACATTTGTATTATTTACTAACAATTGTTATTTATTAATATTTTGATATATATATATATATATATATATATTACTGCCCTAGGGCAGGTCCATGAAACTCCAATTCGATTCAAGGATAAATAATGTGAGAGGTTTCCCATTCCCACTTCACACTGCAGTGACCGAAAATGGACCATTATCCATTTTTGTTTTATAATTTCAAGTAAAAATGGACTTGGGACTACTGCACTGATACATATATATATACAGATTAACAAGGATAGCATTTTATTTTGTTGCTACATACTGAGATAAATTATAAAGAGAGTTGCTAACCTTAATTCATCATCTCACTTATTCTCTTAAAACTAAGATAGCTTCTATAAATATATCTATTTTTAACAAAAATATTTATGATGCTCTTGCATATTGAAGTAGAATGAAGTAAATACGATTAATAAAAATTAATTACTTAGTGCACTATTATCAGCTTTGTAACACACAACATGTATTTTCAAATTGAAATTACACTTCAAATACTTTTAACAGAAAATATGTATTTCATACATATTGTGTGAATAGTATACAATCTGCTAACATAGTGCACCCTGGGCCTTGTCAAGAAAATTAAATTAAACTTGTAAAATAAATATATAAATTTGAAAAACGTTGGACGTCATTAAATGAGTATTGAATATAAACAGATGTAAAGAAATCAAATTTCAATGTCACATGATCATATTAAATCAAATTTAGAAAGCAGAACTCATGTTGCATTCAACTATCAAGGTCAGGTCGAATAGAACAAATCTGTGACTATCACACGTAATTATTGTTACACAAAATTATGCTGCAGAAAACTGCTTGATGTTTGTGTGTATATTATATATATATATATATATATATATATATATATATATATATATATATATATATATGTACATACACACATACATTTTGTTTGACAAGATTTTTATCTTATAAAATAACATACTTATTTTTATCATATATATTTATTATAAAACATTTGAATGCTGATTATTATGCAAAAGTAGTTGTGCTACTTATGAATAGTAAAATAATATGAATATTTTAATATAAAAACTTTTTTTTTTTTTTTAAACATTAGTTATAATTTTTTAAAAAAAGTTTTGAAAAATTACCAAAATTAACAATGAAATTTTTGTATTGTCATTTACCAATAACTCATTCACCATATTTTATCTAAGTGTTTCTGGGCAGTGTGAGGTCCTAAAAGCCATTAAAAAAAAATACAGAAAATTGCTAATATTAACCAAGATCAAACCCTTTCTCCCCCTTTACAAGACTGTCGAAGTATTATTGGCAGATTGTATTATTACATAAATTAATTTTATATAATAAGATTAATAAAATGTTAAACTGACAATGACCAATGTCAACAATCTCACAAAGAAAGACTACAAATTTATTGACGTAAAATAAAGCGTTATAGAGATTTACTCACAATTATTATGTATCATGAAAGATTTTGGTAGCTGATTGGGATTAACTATTGTTAAAAAAGTAAGTTTTAATATAAAAAAATCCCGTTTTGACATATAAAAGTAACTATCATAAAAGAACATCTACTCTCTAAGAATTGTGTTTCTCTGATCAATTCGTTGACAAACAAAATTTATGATTAATATTGTACTGAAACACAATTTTGTAGAATAATTAAGTTGTTTTTGAAGACAAATAATAACATGTTTAATACTACATAATCTGGAAGTTTTCTCAATTGAATTAAATTCGTACTTATAGCTTTATTAATTATTATTTACATATGAAGCACATTTTATTTCAATAAGATGTATAGTATTTAACTTCAGATTGTCATCTACATCAAACGTTAACAATTAACAATGTGTTTACACTCATTTAGAAAATGTAAAATTGCATTTTACAACAATAACATTCAAATATTTATTTTTATTAAAATTTACACTGATTATGCTTCAAGTGTGCAATTTCCTCTCATGTTAAATAAATTTGCAGGTACTCTTGAATATTTATGAATATATATGAGTTATATTTAGATTATTCATTTTGGTCAAAATATACAGGTTTTTATTTATAGAATGATGAATTTGATTGCCAATATGAAGTTTGGCTCCAAACTAATATGCAATAAGATGGTAATTGCCCAATTCATTTATAGCTTGAATCTTTAACAATTAGAAGACTATGAAGGCGAACATTAACAAGTGTAAATACCCTACTCTATAAAAATAGCAAGTTTTCTCGACTTTAAATATATGTTGCATAACTGACCACTAAATTCATAGCAAACATTTTTCACATGTTATTTTTGATCTATTGAAAAAAATTAAGATACATGACATGTGTAACTAATATTAATTATCTCTAACCACAAAAAATATAATACTAATAAAATTATATATAGTAGATACTATTGAACACAAAATTCGAGTCAATTGTATATAATAAAGCGTATTAATTTAAAATATTCTAATTCATAAAAACGGTATTGAATATTTTAATAGTTAATGATTAAAACAAATCGTATTATCAAATAAATAACATAGAAATCAGCCATTTAAAAATAAAACAGCCAAAAAGTCAGTACTATAAGCATAGTAATATAACCGTACATCAAATTGTGCATATGAATTTGTGTACATACATATATACATATAGATATACATACATACACACACACAGATATATATATATATATATATATATATATATAATGCATGAATTATACATTCAAAAACAAGAATATTTTATTAATGTAAATGCTGAATAAGTACAGGATTTAAGAAATAATGGTATTATTTATTTTACCTGCGTATTGATAAAATCCCTTATTCAATAATATAGTAATAAATATATAAAAACAATTTTTCCCCTGAAAATCATCACACATGGTTTGTTGAACACATGTCAAGTGCGACCTGAAAGAGTACTCCAATTGCAATACCAATCATATTGCAATTCTGTATATAATTATAGGGTACTCGTAATTCTAGCACATGTGAATAAAAATGCACTAAGCTTTTACAATAAGAATTAAAGAAAGTATGATTAGAAGTACTCACTATCTTGTTTCTCACCAGAAGCAATCACAATCCATCTTTCTAACAGACTATAACTCAGACCACAATATTCACCCAAAGTTAGCTGGTACATAAATATTTTTCGGCGGGGCAAACAATTTTCTGTATAATGATTCTTACCAAATGGAGCTCGACACGACACTGGGAAACACAATCGAGAAGGTGATTCCGGTGAATATGCCAGTGATTAGGAAGGCGGCACCCAACATACCCGCCTGCACCGCGTATTGAGGTTCGACGCTGCGCGGCGCATACATCATTCCGAGCGAGCTAAGGTAACCGCTCGACACGCCCATTGCAATGGCTATTATCCAGTACACCCAATCGTTCGCGATCAGGACGGGCAACGTACGCACGATCTTGCGCGGCTGGTAATTGCACAGCAGGAACAGGGGGATGAAGATAACACGGAACGTCACTACGTAGATCAGATACTTCGGTTTGGGCTAAGGAGCAAAAATTATAGACTTTTAGCCACAGATAAGATACTTCTATTAAATAAATTTTGCATTTAATCGTTAGTTAATAACTGCACAACAATTCATGTCCATTTTTCATCTATTTGATGTATTTTTATAAAATAAAAAAATTGTCTCTTGATGTTGATAGCTTAATTATTTCAAAAGTTGATAGAAATTATTTTTAATAAAAAAAATAAACAAAATTTTGATACATATTATATATTAAATATTTGTCACGCATCAACCAGCATTCATCCTGACTCGAATGATTTGAATTAAAAAACTAACACAAATCAATTTGAATCAAGCATATATCGGCAAAAATAAATGAAGGCAAAAAAGCAATAATAATTTGTATTGCTTATTGTAATTTAATAAATAAAAAAAAATTATTATAAAAGGTAGACATTAACCAATTGACTTGATAAATTAAAAATTATAAACTAAAAAACTATTATTGAATAAAATATATCATACACAATTTATTAAAAAGGATTTCATTATGAGGACAGTTAAAATATATTTTCAAATAAAATCACAATAACTAAACACCTCTGCATCAATATTCAAAAACACTCCTCAATTGAAGGTGTTTTTATATTATTTGCAAAAGATTGAACATTAAAAACCTGCTTCATGTAAATTCGTTAACTATATTTATATATATATATATATATATAAATATATATACAATTATATATATATATATATATAATATATATATATACAATTTAGAATCATATATATATATATATATATATATATATATATATATATATATATATATATGATTCCAAATTGATAAAAAAATACTCTCCGTTTTAGATCTTAATATGAACTGTTTGGATAGTCCGCACTCCAAGTTTCTTATATAAATAACATGAGTAAAATTCCAGTTATTTTTTAGAATTTCATAACTTAACAACAAGTGAATCAAAATTTTAAGAATAACATTGTATTTGCTTAATTTGATCATAAATAAAAAATCATAAATAAAGAATCAACATATATATATATATATATATATATATATATATATATATATAGAATTTTATGATATGATCATAAATAAAAAATCATAAATAAAGAATCAACATATATATATATATATATATATATATATATATATATATATATATATATATATATATATATATATATATATATATTTTATGATATGATCATAAATAAAAAATCATAAATAAAGAATCAACTATATATATATATATATATATATATATGATGAAAGTTTTGTCGACGTTGATACATATTTGTAATATTTTTGCAGCCCCACCGGCGAATTAAAAAACAGTGCAAAAACAGTGCAACAGTGCACACAATGCTAGGCTACCATTAACATTAAATATAGAAGGGCAATATGTGCTCCTCCTATTTCTCGTTTGTTAATTAATAGTATTTTATTATTTTACACAAATTTAGTGTTCAATCAATTTTACATCATAATTAATGTTTCCTGTTTTTCCTGGTTTGATTACTGAATGATGACACACATCAAGTGTCGAAACGTTTAATGGAATAAATAATTTTGTTATTTAATCTTTTTTTTTAATTCGACGGTTGGACTGCAAAAATATTACAAATATATATATATATATATATATATATATATATATATCGTACATATATATATATATATAGTCATAAAAAAATCCAAAAATTCATATAGTGACAATTCGATAATCCAAGGACGATAACCCGTGTCAAAATATCAATACAAATAATTATTTGTACATTATAATTATCATTAATGCAACACTTTCTGCTCTATATTAATACTTACCCATTGGAAGAATGAAGTCAGAAAACTGCCTAACATTGCGCAGGTATTGAATGTTAGGAAACAGGTAATTTTAACAAACATATCATCAATAGGAAAGTTTTCATCAACTCGCTTGATATCTAAAATTAAATATAGTTCATAATTTTTATGAAAATTATATTATCCATATAAATCGTTTTAAGGAATACCTGAATGCACAGTAGGAAATACTGCTAGTGTAACAAAGAATACAAAAAATATACTAAACAGATGAGGAGCAGCATCTCGCATAATTCTCAAGTAAGGAATACGCGTTTTCGGCCCTCTATTTTGGCTGCAACTTTCCTTTTCATTCTTAAGTTCATGATATCTGTAAAATCGCTGCCAAAGAAATAGTTCAATATTAAATCATGAAAATTGTAAAATTCGAAAAAATATTGTTCCATTAGTTATTTGAATCATATTTTGAAAAATTCATATTCAAAAGACAGTTTAAAAAAAGTCTAGCCCTTCAATTATGTAACTTTTGGACTCATGTATTTATTAAGGTAAATATATATATATATATATATATATATATATATATATATATATATATATATTAACTTACATTCAGTGGCAATGCGAAGTATGTATCAAAACATAGTAATAGAATGAACATTGCTGTAATGAAGTAATAAATAGCAGAAGTTCGAAGAGATCCTGCCATATATCCACTAAATATATCAATGAGAGCAGTCAATGTACCACTAATATTCGAGCCAAGAATCACAGCACCGGTGTATTTCGAAGGAAGTTTAGCTGCCATACCGTAAACTGTATTTTGGTATATTCCATTCGCCACTGAAATAAAATTACAAAATTTTATTAATTATTTAAGTTATTATATTATGTTATAAAAATCAATATATAAAAAAAATTAGTTCTAACTGATGAGTAAGAGTACAAAACGGCACTAATGCAAGGATGAGGCTAGATAGTTTATTTGCAAATGATAAACAATTACAAAATGGTTTAAATAGCCCCTCATTTAAGTTCAAATATTAAACAAGATACAATTTATAAATATCTTAGATTAAATCACTTATATGAATATAGCAGAATCACATGCTTCAAATAAATTTGGAACAATATGCAATATAATTAAAAATCTTTATGTTCTGTGTGTAGTTTAGTGTGTAATGTAAAAGTTCTTGTTAATAACTTACTGTTTAATATAACAACAGTGGCCATAGTTATCCAAAAGAAAGCTCCTGGCCAGTCTGCCGAATTAGTCATTGCCAGCCCTACGGTCACTAAAAATATTATAATTTCAATGACAAGTGACCATACAATTCGAGTTGTTAAGTTACCACTGTAAAAGAAATGGTAATTATTTACACAGTCACGGATTATTAAAACATTATCAAGTATCAATAGCATACATTCAAATACATACCCAATTTGTACAAAAACATTTAGCCAGTTGAATAATATATTAGGCACTTGAGCAGCAAATCCTATATAAGCCAAAAAGCTCGTTACATACATAGATGTTATTCCTGTATATTCTTCAGATAATTTATATGATACGAAATACTGAAAAATAAATTTCCATTTAAAATATTTTTGGATAAATGGTTTCGAATTAAATTTAATTATTCTTGATTTGTGTTATTATTTCACTAACAACTAACGTAAAAATAGTAAAATATTGTTATATTATTAGGTAATTTTACCTAAAAATATTATAAATGCAGAATAATAAATTGTAAAAAAAATATAATACAAAAACAGTTATACATATTAAAGTAATATCGGACAAATATTGCATATCATATTAATTAATTTTATTGCCGAATATACTATCCGTCCCAAACCTAATATATATATATATATATATATATATATATATATATATATCATATATATACACACACATTAGGGTGTTAATATGAATATTTTCGAATTACTATGCTCCCAGGAGCTCAAATGCTTCAAAATTGATACAAAAATGTTTCAAAATTGATAAAAAAAATTTGCTGAAAGTTTTATCTCTTAATATTAATTTTAAGATAGTCCGCACTACAAAGTTTCTATGAAAATAACATAAGTAAAATTCCATTTGTTTTTTAGAATTTTATAACTTAGCGACAAGTGAATAAAAATTTTAAGAATTATATTGTATTTGCTTATTTTGATCATAAATAAAAAAATTACAACAAAAATTTGATATATTTTCTTAAGTATATTTAATATTATTGTTACTTTGATATATTTTATAAAATAAGTATTTACTTTATAAAATAAATTTTTGGTGGTAGATGATAATATTAGTAATATAGTTGTCAAATATCTCCCTACCGCTTTTTTGCTCTTGGTTTATAATACAAAAAGGCGGAAGGGAGATATTTGACAACCTTATATATAGAATGAAGCAAATTTGTCAAATGTACCAACCTCTTTAGCATTTATAAACATATTCCAAGGCATTAGCGTACCAACTCCATGAAGCAGAAGTGTGAGATAAACTAATTTCCACCTGTCTCGTGGTTCTGTTGTTTCTAGTTGTGCTCTTTCCATAGTCATACCTGTAAAGAGATAATATTTATGATATTTTACAATAATTGTTTCTCATTTCACACTAGACAAAATTAACCGCAATTCATAAGAGATATTTTTTAATTTGCTATTATTTGTTAGATGAATGAAACTATTTAAAACTCTAGTATAAGTAAGAATATTCTAGTTTGAAAATAAAAGTTTTCTGATAGTAAAAAAATAGCATTTAATTTAAGTGAAAAGCTTAATATTTACCTTATGTTTTTTCAAAGCTCAATATTTGGAAACACTGAAGCAAAAAGATAATTATGTTTTGATGATGGCTTGCATTAGCAGAACAAAATAGTGACTATTTAATCGCCCTAACATTAAATACAATCCACTTTACAACAGAATTTTGCTACTACGAGCAAACTTCCATTGCAGCTTACGGTGCAAAGTATTGAAACTACTCGACGACGAGGAGTTCTTCATTTCAGCAAAATTAAATCGCAGCGACGGCGTTTAAACTTGTTCGCTATTGTTATTTAATAATATGCCTAAACGACGTATGCATGAAACTACAAAAATTATATTAAAAAATTCAAAAAAGCAAGAAAATTTTGTTTTGCTAACATCTTTTAAACAAGTTAAAATAAACAGTGTTAAATACATAAAAAATATAAAAATGAAAATATTTAATTTAATTTAACCTGTGTGTACGAGTGTTGCCTATAGAGGACAGTTTTTAGAAGTGTTTAAATGCATTTTATTGATAATAATTAGAAAATCTTAAAATATTTGATGTAATACTTCGCGGTTTGCGGCTTGCTGGCTCGTACAGCAGTGTAACTCTCGTAGCGAAAAGTTCAAAATACATTTTGTGAAACAATATTATTCTCAATCATTTTCTCTTTTAATAAATAATTATAATTTTCCTTATTCGCAAATTTAGTAAAAATGAAGTATTTGTTGTACATTTGATACAATTTTATGACATACATATTTAAACAATTATATCAAATTCTGCTACAGGCAATACGAAGATCTAATTGACATACATTTTTTTCTTCTCATTATTAGTAAAGAGTCAGGGTAACAATTGATTCAAATGAAGTAAGTAAATTTAAACTGAATATTTCATCCGAAGAGAGTATTATTACTATTATTTTCAATGTAACAATCCAATATTAGAATTTGCTTCCTGATGAAGATGAAATGCAAGAAATGATTATTTATTCTTCGAGATTCTAATTCGAGAAGATTGCACGAATTCTGTTTTAGCCGCTGAAAGTTATAAATATTTGAGTCACTAATCAAATGAATTTTTTTCATTTGTTCAAAGAAATTTTCTACATATACATATAAAATAACTTTCTGAATTCATCATCATTATTATTATTTTATTCATTAACATAACACATACTTTTCATATTTCAGTCAGATTGACTGAATAATATACAGTGGTACCTTGACATACGAGCTTAATTCGCTCCGTAATCACGCTCGCATGTCGAATCGCTCATATCTCGAAGCACTTTTTTCCACATAAAAACATTGAAATGCTTTATAAACAAAGAAATAATTTATAAACAGCTTTCTGGGCTCTAAAACTTAACAAAAACCACTTTGCTGGAACGAATTAATTCCGATTTTCAATAATTTCACCCTTTAATTCAAGAGACATGGCCCTTTTCTGTAGATTCGTGGTTATAATGCTGCATAATATTTTGTAAATGAACAAAAACCAAAAAAACACGAACTCAAAATATATAAATATTGGAATTGGAGGCAATTTGAAATAAATCTTACTTTTTGTTTATTCCATTAATTTCTTCATATGTTAATACTTATGATTGTATTATCTAACATATTGTTTTATAGAAATGCGAAATCCATGAATCCTCCTAGCAGCTGTGTATTGTCGAATGGTTACATGAATTGTATTATGTATGCTTGTATTTATAGAAACTTAGCGAAAAAAATAAATTCAAAGTTCTATTTTACAATTTTTACTTCACAATTAAATAATTGTCATACAATTTTACTGATTGAATAGAACTTGGTTTTGTTATTATATGTTTGTAGCATACATTTAATAATAAAATCCAGGAAATGAAGTAAAATTCTTGAAAAAAATAGCACATTGCTTGAAGAAAAAAAAATATTACAAGCACAAGTACGTGATCAACCAATGAACAAGCATCAAAAATCTGTAATTAAATCTCAAGTAGTGGCAAACATAGAAAAACTAAATATTAATAAAGAAGTTACTGAACACAATTATGATTAAAATTATTACAAAATTCAGTTAAATTAAGTTTTGGTTACATACCAATCTTTTATGTGCAAGTTATAGGAGCATCTAACGCTTCTTGATCTAGAATTTAATAAGGAATCTCTCGAAATCAAACTTGAAATGACTGATGATGTGATAAAACTTAACCAAACTTTATTAGAAAAAAATAGTATTTTGCAAAAATGTTCTGAAGCACTACAAGAAGAAATGTCAAAAAGAGATGACTCATACAAAAATCATTTGAACAAAAAGCAGCAAAAAAAGACTTCATTGAAAATATGAAACAAGAAACCAGGACACTTTTGCTGGAAGATCACTCAGTGATGCAAAACATAAATGCCTTAGAAGAAAGTATTTCCGAAATATATCAAGAGTTGGAATTCAAGCAAAAAGAACTGGAAAGTACTAGTAAAAAACTTGAAAATAGATGTTATACAGTAAATGCTCAGAAAATAATGCTAAATGAGCTTACAGTAAAAATGAATGAATCTAAAATGCAATTAATAGAATTAAAAGAAAATTCTATGAAAATAAGGTTGTTGCTATTAATTCTTTTCTCAACTACTGCGGCTGATGGTGTTTGCTGAATATTTTGAACCTGCTGGTTGTTGAGCATCCTGTTGCACTTGTTGCTGGTGCTGAATATTGTGAACCTGCTGTTGGGCATTCTGATGAACCTGCTGGTGCTGCAGTTGAACCTTTGGTTTAGTACAAGGGCCTGGTACTATATTATTCTTATCTCGAGCATCTTTTATAATCGTTTTCTGAGTCCCACTTGAACCTGCCGATTCTCCAATTGCCTGGTGGTCACTCTGATCCTCATAAACAAAAAGTTTTCTTTGAGTCCCTGCATGTTGCAGTTGTTGTTGTTGTTGTTGTTGATTATTTCTTTCGCTATGCGTAACTCCTGGATGGAAATTTCTTACATTTTCTCCTGTTCTTTGACTAGGAGCTTTGCAATATTTTTTCTTTTAAAAGACCTTAAGGAAGTTAGAGCTTGCCTTTGCGTAGTTAACATCTCACTATTTTTAAGAAGTTTCGTTTGTGATGTCATCGCCTGTTGTTCAAAGCACAGCGATTTAGTATATGTCTCCTGCAAGTAATCCAAGGGTTGCGTCCGAGCATTTATTCCAGTTGCATAAACTTTCTTTGCACTGTCCAAATCATTTGCAGCATGAAAATGGTAACCCCAACCGCAATAAAATTCAGCAACCATTGTTCCTACTCCTCTATAGTATAACATGGGAAATATTTCTAGAGCATTAGGTTGTGTATATTGATATATCAATATATTTTAGCCACACTTTTATAAATCTATGGTCTTGAAAATACTGCTCATTATGTTCATGTAACATTAGGCATTTGAGTATTAGCGTATTAATTAATAAATCATTTTCCATTTGGGGTGTCTGTTCGACCCATCGGATGTATTCAAACCAATTGTTCAACAGGCCCGGCCCGCTGTAGGTGTTGATTTTATTTTCAAATTCAGCCTCTTGTTGTTTTAGGACGGTCTCAACGGCTTCATGGTCTTGAGCCTCCAACGCTGGTATTAGGCGTTCCAAATCTCTACCTCCTCGAAGGGGTTTGATGTTTTCTTTGCTTTTTTCAATATTCATTTCTGCTATGTAAAAATTTGGCCGGATTGAATAATAAATAATTTAAAGAGCTAACTATTGTATAAAACTATCACAACACTTAATTAAAATTTTGGTTTGCCATTAATTCGTGAATAATCTTACATTTACTAAATTTAGCAATTCAAGATTATCAAAAAGCGGGTCGAACGCATCCAGCACACGGTTTTAAAAAAAACGATACGATTAATACTGATTTCAATTAAGAAGCATAACTAAACATTAGCTTCTTTAGATTGCAGAAATTAAATTCGAAAGCTTCATTTAATAGTAAAGATTAACAATACCGGTAGTTTATTCGGTCATAAATAAAATATATTAAAATCAACATATTCATAAATCCAGCCCAGAAGCCGTAACATGAGCCAAACTTTGATAGTTATGGCTTTGTTTTATCGCTGAGTATGCCCATTAGGAACATGTTCCATGACTCGCGATTTGCAAATCGGCTAGACATTATCAACAGGTCAAATGACTGTTGGATCGCAAGAGATAACATGCTAAAAATAATTTTAAAACACCAAATTTATAAACTAATTTGATCGATAATAAAAGATTGTTACTAATTATTTTTTTTGTGTCAGTTTTATGAACTACTTAGCAGAAATTGTAAATTGCAAGAGGGCATTCTCAACTATATATGAATTTATCACTTATGACTTTTATATATTTTTTATTTATATTCAAGTTTCTATTTAAGTTTGATGCGAATATAATTTTAAAGTGACCAAATATTACCTTTTTCTTAAAAAAAAAGACAATTTTAAAGTTCATATTCAGTATTTTAGAATATTTTTCAAAAACATTAGCTTCCATGACTATAAATATTGTGCTTTCAGAAAACTGTTGTCAATCACAATTTAAGGATTTGAAGCACATAATTATTGTAACTCCCACAAACCAAACATATGTGAATAAGTAATATATTACTTTAGGCATTTGTGTTCTTAATACCAGATTTATTAACTCTTTCGCTGCGGGAGTGTTTTCCGGAGGAGCGTCGCTACTAGGGTTTATTTATACAAAATTCGCCATTTCACAAAACCGGTTTTCGAATTTTAATTTTACCAGACAACCGGTTTTAGCCGGTTTTCGAATTTTACATAGAAAATAAATTTTTGCTCGAATATTCTGTGATAACAAAAAATTATTCGCAAATTTAATGCGATTTAAAGCAGTATTTGACTGAATTTATTTATTGTTCAATTTTATAGATAGTGAACAAAATTATTTTAATTTTAATTAGTAGAATAGAAAAATAATAGTTTATCTGAATTAAATAACTTTGAAAATAATTATTTGTTATTTATGCATCATTTTCACATATAAGAATGAAAATATTTTTATGATAGTGGAATGAAAATTTTCGAATGAATGAAAATAATACATTTTTAAATAAAAAACATTTATTAAATTAAAAAAAAAAACATAAAAAATATTAGATACATGTAGTTTAGTTTTAAAAATAATTAAGCTAAACCCCGGGTATTTTCTATTCCAAGCAATTTTAATTAATGTATTTTAAAAATTACAATTATTTTTTGTTTAATAAAATATGATTTCAAAAAACTGAGAACGTCTATCCATTTTTTACTCAGACGTGTCCTTTGTTTACTCACAAAATTTCCCAAAATAGAAAATACTCTCTTATTTCCGACCGAACTAGGCTTAATTGTTTTTATACCATGATATAATAATTCTAAGTTTTTTGTTTTTTTATTTATGGCTTCTAGGGCTAAAATGTCTTTTTGAAGATTGATTAGAGAAGTTATTTCTACAAGAAAAAGTCACACTGATTTAAATTAATATAAACGCTGGTATAAAAATCTAAATTAATATTTACATCAGACAAAAGATAACACAAAACCTTTCTGGGAACCATAGCAGACTGATAAGATTTTAAATGCTATTGAACCGATATGATTCCAAGAATCAAAACGCTTGCTTCCATCTGTTATATTTGGCTATATTTGTTATTTTTCATTTATGCAGTGAAACCGGTTTTCGAATACCATAATTTTCGTGAAACAACGGTATTTAAAATCGGTTTTTGAAAACGGACAAACCCTAGTAGTTGCTACTGTACGGGAACAGCGTGTCGCTGAGTTAAATTACTGAACTATATGATAATCAATAAAAATGCGTTAAAAATTTAAAAATTACGCTTCTAATGAACCAGAAAAAACAATAAAAGATTAGAATTGTCAATAACTCAAAGTAATAAATCTTGAAGCAAAGGCAAACAACATGTCGTCCAGGGGCGACATCCGTACACATGGCACGTTATGCGGATGTCGTCCATGGGCATTTCGCATATAGGCTATATAATATAGCTATCCCTATAGATTCCCATAAAGTTGACGGGTATGCAAAAACGCATAATTTCTCTTTTCTAGATATTTTCATAGATATTATTCTACTCTTTTCTAGGTGTTATAATTTTCCAATACAAATTAGCTAATATTAGTGCTATTGTTTTTTTGAGTAATTTCAGTCAAATTGAAGGATCCCATAAAGCTAGTATCAATTTAACATACGATCTAATAATAAATAGTAAAATAGATGACAATTTTTATGTAAATACCTAAATATAGATTATTTCTTATTGTTAGTTAAAATATCATTTGGGTCTTTAAGATTTTTTTTAAATAAAATTAAAATAAAGCACAATAAATTTATAATTTTTTAATGTTTTTTGTACAGTAAAATTTTAAAATTTTGATATAAAAATAATACTTTTGAATTCGTTGTAATTTTTTCGCGTACGGGCAAATATATGTCTTATTCTAAAACCTACTAAGGTAGTTTTAATGTGCTATGCCTGTGCGTGACATTAAGTAAATTATCTACAATTATTTTAAAATGTTGTTCAGTTATTATCAATCAACTTACCTTTAAAATTAAGTTCCTCATTGGGCAAATTACTGTCCTCCCATGCTGGAGTTAGCCGAACGGGTTCCACCAAAAATGGTGTGGTTTGTGTAGCGCCTTCTTCCATCGTCCTGTCATCTGCAAAATATACGAATTTATAAACAAGTCACAAATATGATGAACTGCATAGATACATATAAAAAATATAAAAAATTTAATCATGCATATCAAAGAAATTGTACAACCCTATTACTTTTATCAAACTCTAGTATTTTTTCCCATCGTTTTATATATTTTCTATAATTGAGCATGAAGCTGTAATTCTCAATCTGATAGTTTAGTTTAGATAAAAAGTACTAACGAAGATATAGTAAAATATCAGGTATTATTATTTATTGATAAATTCAACACCTTTTACATTCCAATTCCAAAATTGGCAAATGATTTGATATAACTATTTTTTAACTAGTGGTGCATTGCATGGTGCCTTAAGGCAAATTGCTGGAACTTCCCGTATCAAAATTTAATTTTAAAAAATAACCTTTTTGAAAAAATTGATTTTTTTATACTTTGAATCACATATTTTGAACTTTTTTACAAAGCAATCGCTACGTTAGCTGCTTAGAATCGAATTATGGAAGCGCGTGAGCGCCGTGTCGCAGTCTAAATGATAAACATTGGTACAGAACCCATAGAAATGCAAGCTAAATTTGTTATTAAAATATCTATGAAATATCTAATAATTTGATCATGTCTTTTTCATTTTCGTTTTTTGCGATTACTATTAAATTACCCTACAAGAAGACATATACACATCAAATTATCAGATATTTTTTAAAACATCTTATAACAAGTACAAATTTTTATTATAATTCTATGGGTTCCGTACCAATGTTTATTTTTCAAACTGAGACGTGACGCTTACGCGCTCGATGTTTGGTTTCTTTTTTTTTGAAAAAAAAAAAGCGATTACGTTAAAAACAAAAGTTCAATATTTTCAAATTTTTCAAGTTATTTCAAATCAAAATATGTCATTCTTTCAAATTTCAAAATTTAGAATTCAATAAATTATAAAGCTTTTTTAACAAATTTAATTTTTGCTGTGGTTCCAGCAATTTGCCTTAAGGCACGATGCCATGCTCCACTAGTTTTTAATAGAAATTTTACTTGATAATAATTACTAATCTTTAACTTCATCATTCCATTGTTCACGACCAACTTAAAAGCGCTGTGCAAATGATTGATTCTACTGATAACATAAATACTTGATATCTTGCAATTTTGAGCATTTCCACTGCAACTCTGCTCGTTGTGCCAAATAATGATTAAAATTGAAAATATTTGTGATGAGTGTGAGTGAATCGCTGCTAAGAGTTTAGGAGTTAGGACCACCTTCAGGAATTTAAGGAATGTGGAAAACAATGTAATAACAGGTAACATTATGCATTAGGTTACAAATAAATATCAAAGACGGTATTTATGCTTTAATTTTTATCTGAAACTAAATTTATAGCATATTTAATAAATTTTATATATAGCACTTAGTTTAATGTTATTGCATTAACTTGACATTTACTTCACTTAATTGCTAATATCATCATTTTGTTCATCACATGACTTAACTACGCAGTAAATTCTTGGACTCAATAAGTAAGAATATGAAATTAATGTTCCTAATAAAATCATATTTTTTGTGGGTAAAGTAATAATGTATAAGATGCAAAGTAATAATGTATATTCATAATTTAATTGCAAATATCAGAATTTTTAAACTTTTCATCACCTTGCGTTGTAAATTCTTGGGCGTGTCTGATGTAATAATAAGAAATTAATTTTCTCATTGAAATAAATTATTTATTATTTTTCGGGAGATCAAGTAATAAAAAATTAACATCAAAATATCATCGGTGAATATGAGCAAAATGTACTAGCAAAAATCATACAATTTTTAGTTTCTTTTTACTCAAAACTTCTCAATAATAAAATTATCAAGTATTTTACCATTTTACAATATTGATTAAATGTGTCGACTTTTGGGGAAACTTGCCAACACGCTTCAGTTTTTTTTTTTTTTAAGGAGGGCCTCTCAAAGTCGACCTATTTCAAAAATTTTCAATTCATAGTTCAACAAGATGTCTTAATTCTTGATAATTTTAGGGCAACTGTAGATTTTTTTTACTGTGATCCTAGAAATGTTATTAACGGTTACGGTTCCAAGGTTTAAATGAATAAAATTAATAAAAGTTAACTATAACAACCGAAACATGATCATAATTCCACCAAAGCTCTAGATTGCTCTTAAAAGCTCATAATTTCTAAACAACGTGAGATATTTTTTTCTAAATATTTTCAGTTAATATAATCACCACATTTGGGCCTCACGTCAATATATATATATATATATATATATATATATATATATATGTATGTGTGTGTGTGTGTATGTGCATGTATATACTTGGTGTGTATAAATATATGCACAAAGAATATGTTTCTAATATAAATGAATATCGCATCAAACAGCTCTATTCAGGCGTTACGATAGCACCATTGAAAAATCTTTGTTTGAAGATATTTCTAATAATATTGGTGGTATCATGGGCAGTTTTCAGAATGTTTTTTTTCTATAAGATAAGAATTGATGGTATCTATTATAATACGTAGCTTTCTCAAACACATCGAACTCGAATTTTTACTAATTCATCCAATATTGAATGAACATTATATATTTTTGTTGTATTAGAATTTATAAGGGACTTTACTATCAAAATACGAAGTTTGCGGTTCCCACGCATCCTTATCAATGTTAGCTTGCCAATATGACTGTATTACACTCAAGCATATAACATTTTGTACACAACATGTTATTTGCTTGATTACATTAAAAAAAAAAAACAGCGATATATCAAAATAAAAATGCATATTTATACTTTCTGAAAAGATAGGAACTAAACTTTTGTCGTCTAACAATAATTAATCGTAACATTAAAGATTAAACAATTATTAATTATTCATCTATTCAACACTAAATATATGCTCAATATATTTATATATAATAACTCATAAATGAGAATTAATCGATCTCCCTAAAGTTTATGTTTTCGCCAGAAAATCCTAGACGCGCTAATTATGTTTTGTTTGACGTTTTAAGTCATTCTGAATCGTCTGAGACCAAAATTGGAAGAAGAACAGAATTTGACCTTTAGTTTAGTTTTTTGTGACGATTCTTTAAAATCAGCAGGCAAGTGCAAAGATCCTGAACCGATGTTTACAAATCAATCAATCAAAAACTGCTCAAAACTGTTGGGAATCGTGAAAAATAAATAATCTGCTATGGTTTCTAACATTACCATGCTCTTATACGTTAAGTTACCCCATACATAGAAAACACTCATAAACAGTGCTGGATTAACCCATAGGCCCGTGAGACCCGGGCCTAGGGCGCCACAATTTGGGGGGCGGCAAATTTTTCAGAATGTCAAAATTTTCAACCAGATAAAATGTCAAGGCAATTCATTTTAAGGATTGATTCTGATCTGGTTTTATAACGAATCATTTTCTATGAAATAAAGTAATTCGTTTTCTAATCAAACTTATTATTCTTGGGAGTCACATTGATAATTTTATTAATGTAATGTATATGTTTAAAATAAAAATTATCAAATTTATAAGCTTTTTTGGAGAAATATTGAAGCTCTGTTTATTTTTTGTAACTTTGTCAAGGTGAATCTTACATATAAACGCTTTAAAAAAGGTTCGATGGTTCTAATTTAATTTTCGGTATTAAATAAAACCATGGCGATCTAACATAATATATCAATTGTTATTTAGTGATAATTTAAAATTCATTTCTTTATTCGCATATAACAATTTTTTTCTTAAAATAAGTCGTATAGAGTAAAACTGAATTCTAATCTAAAATATCTGACAATTTGGAAATGCTTGTGTGTAATGATTATTTTTGATAATTGGCTTTTTGTAACTTCACTAAGCAAATTATAGTAATAGCAAAAAAATGTATATGAAATTTTTATAAATAGTGTTGATGTGGTAAATAGAAGAAGTGATGCATGATGCATGTGCACAAAGGGTGCACACATGCAGTTTTTATGAGTACAGATCATCCGATTGGAATGACTCAAAAAATATTTTGATTGTGTTGATGGTATGAAGATAAGATTCGTTTTCTGGAAAGACAGGTTCACCTGTTTTATCAACTCGGCCGCTTTTGATAAAACATCGACGAAATATAAATATTGACTGATCACGCCAAAAAAGCGCTGCCAATTTTACAGAGGGGGTTGTAATATTTTAGTATATTTTTTAACCTGATGTTTATCATTAAAAAATGCTTTAATGAAAGTCGTCGAAAAAATTCTTTTAACAGTTGGTTACAAAAAAACAACCCAGCCAAAACTGATCTTCAACTTCCAAACTGATCTTTCGAACGTGGACGATATATTTTTCACTTTTCTGCTTATTACAAAGAAGCGGCACGGCCGATCGTCGCGCAAAACTGATACTGACACTAGTCCTCATCGAGATACATAGAATTGAATTATTTTATAATGAGTATTTTTATTCCTCAAATGTTTAATTATGGAACGGAAAGTTTCAGCAATTGCCACTTAAGTAAGCCACTTTTTTTGGATCTGCAAAACCGTTGAAGTAAAAAGTTTTGTGAATTATTCATCAGTTCTTCGTTCCCTCAAAAACTGAATTGACATTTTTACACTTTTGCTTCGTATCTTCGAAGCAGCTATACCTGTCTTTGCAAGGAATCGAGCATAGACATATACACATACATATTTTTTTGTAAGGAAGAACTTGAAACGTGAGTTATGAAAAAAAAAATTGTTTTGGATTCTTTTGCGAATACTACAATTCACCCTACGAGAAATTAAAAATTATATCTATGTAGTTTAAAATGAACTATTTAATTAACAAAAGTAAAATTTTGTCTATTAAAAAGGGCGCCTGATTAGATAGGACCTAGGACGGCAGTAAGCTTAATCCACCACTGCTCATAAATCATCTATTGATCAAGTATTTACACATTGGAAAGTTTATGCAACTTGCCTTAAGGCAAAATGTCACGTACGTCTGGTTAATTGGTTCATCTCATCGTGAACGAATAA